GAGATTGTGTAAGTGGGTGTGCGACTCTGATCGAGTTGATGCTATGAAAGTTTGTACGTGTGTAGGCCAGGGTACGAAACCATCCATCATAACCTCTTTGTCTAGGGTCGTTGAGTTTTAACGACCAAAGGAAAGGTCTGGCGGAGGCTGGGCAACAGCATACGCCTAGTTTGGTTGTGCCAGTAAGGAAGTGGCGAATAAAACCGACACTTTCTTCAGTCATGCCCACGTTTAGAGAGAAAGTTGACCCATTCTTCAGATCGGCTTGCTACAAAATGATGTGTTCATGTGGTCACTTTTGTGTTGGAGCGACTTGTCGTCCCATTCGAGAAAAGCGTGGCTGAGCACAGACCAGAAACGGAAGCGGAGATTGAATGTCTCAAACTTGTCGTTTTGCTGATTCTGGCATGTCTGCAGCTAAACGTAAAATGAGAGAAAGCATCGAAATAGATCGAATGTAAGAAATACCGAGAAGTTAAGTGAAAATTGCTTGTGCTTAATTATGAGAAATTAATGAAAATGTCAGCTGTACTCATATAAATATGGGGAAAATTCCCCTGCCAGTCCTTCTTCACCCTAAGCGAATCAAGGTGAATACATCTCATATTAATTGATAGATTCAAGGATAGAAAGGGTATTGGGTGGCCTGCAAAAAGATGCGACTCAAATGGTCTTTACTTTACTTTTCTCGCCTCTAACCAAGATCCTTTTTCTGTACTTTTTAGGCCACTCTTTCTCGTTCACATTCAAAGACAAATAGCTCATCAGACCTTGATGTCCGAGAACTGACGTCAACATGTCTGTCCTGATTACTTTAAGCCATCACTGCTGGTTTCGTACAGATGCGAGCACATGCAAGCACATACATGCACACAGACAGACAGACTTACAGACTTCGAGGATGACATTGACGGGAACTAACCTACTCATTTCATACCTCATCAAAAATAGCTCAGCTATAGAGTGTAGGTACAGAATTTTCATGACTCGTCAAGGATGTACGTTAAACGACGGACGAAAGCTTAGCACATTTCCCCCGGAATCCAAGAAGAATGCCTCCGAATGTTCTAGTAAATGCACAATCGTCTCCTGGTGGGATCGACCTTTGAATCTTCTCACCCAACACTTTCGCTCGAAGTGAAAGTGAGCTGAATAAAATCATTTTAATTGTCGCTTTTCTGTATCCTATTCTTCCATTTGCAGGACAAGAGTGGCGCCTCTTCCGTTCACATGTTCAATGCATGGCGACTTTCGCACGTACATGGAGCACTTGGACAAACTCCGCCGCTGGTTCACAGTCTCGGCAGTCCTCGCGCTGCTCCCGATCACGTTGTTGCTGAACGCAGCTCAGGTGGTGTATGTGAATGTTAACAGGTTGACATTCGGTTCGTCAATCTCTTCAAGCTCCTATTACTTGTGTGTGTTGTGGAGACTACCAGTTCGTAGGAAAGTGCATGCTGATCTCACCATTGCGCTCTCTCGCAATCACATGATAGGCCCTTGCTCAAAAGTGTGGGAAAACTCAACTCCAAGTCCTTAAATCATCTAATTCATACGTTTCTTATGCCAATTGCTGTCTAAATCGAAATTGAAAATAAAATAAAATGATGATGGGCGGGGTGTCCTGTCAGATGACATCTTCTTTTGCAGTCGTGATGTGCATAATTTGGTTAATTCCCACTTGACCTCAACCCATCATGTCTGCCAGCATCTGAGGCATCGCCAGTTGGCTTTTGTCATCTCAGACGCTCAACGCATTTTTTGCTATCCTAGACTGAACAAATGGATTCGAATTTGGGTTTCGCTTAATCTCTTGAGATTGTGTAGTTATGGACACGAAAATGTCGTAGGCAAGTGTGTCTGAAGAAGAGATGTGTTGGTTGATCTCGTCGAAAAACGACGCCCAATGCCGTTTTGACTCAATACAACCCGCAGGTTGACTCAGTTTAGGTGAAGACGAGTTGTGATTTCGTCCATCATACGACGGACATCATCAGCGCTGAAACTCATTCTTGTAAAAGTGTGACGTTGACACTTTGTCAAAAAGACTATCCGACTCTGTATTGCCTCTTATATTGACTTATAACTAAATAAAAACATGAATAGGCATAGATATAGATAGGATTGTTTGGCTAATTATACATTAGAAGAAGCTGGGTAACTTTGAAATAAAGATAAAATCGAGACATTTTGCGCATAAAGTGAGTCGTAGTAACCATGTTTGTAGCCAACTGAGGAAGCATAATGCAATTAATTCAACCAGTACAGCTCTCCGGATCTCGAGAATGGGTCCTATTTCTCTCTGAAAGATGGCATAAGACAAGAAAGTGTGAGGGTTGTGCTTAACACTTTCTCCACAATTCGTCTAGCTTCTTTGAAAGCAGGCCTAACGACAAAATAAGGAAATGAGAAACAGTCTCAGCTTGTCTAGCTTCGACTAAATAGTCTCCGTCTGAAAATTTATTACTCAGTAAAGAGATATTGTTCCTGATAAGACCGAAAGAATAATTATTTTCAAGGAATACATTTGTCAGCCGTTCCAACGCCATAATCAAGTGATTGTTATCCACAAACTAAGGAAGCATAAAATAAGTAATAAATTTAGTACAACTCTGGAGGATAGTGCAGTACTTTGATTGGAAAGAGGATTGAATTTTGCTCTTCCAAATGAGGTAAACCATTCTGTGGACATGTTTGTTATATTAATTAGCTTATCTGATTGGTTCCC